AACTTTCCAATCCATTTTTTTGAATAAACCTCTATGCTTGCACCATATGAATGTTGTTGTTTTGATTCTTTCTACCGTGTTTGCCAAGACTATTGGGATTTTTTCGAAAATCCATTTGTTCATATCCATCCGTATGAACCATAAAGCTCCACATAATATTCTTCTTCTTTTATATATACACTTCGACCATCGTGAGATGAAAATGAGCATATTTTCCACCGAATGAAATCAGTCACATCTAATCTCACACCACACTAGGATCAAGTCTATTATTGCCTTCGCTGCCGGACAAGTTAACAAAATGTGATCACATGTCTCCTCCTCCGTATTGCATACACCACACATAGTATTTGGAATTATGATACCTCTGTTTTTTAATTCCACGTCAGATGGAATTCTAGTGAGTTTTGCTCTCCATAAGAAACATAGAATCTTAAAGGGAATCAACTTATCCCATGCAAATGGTCCGTCGTTGACGATATATCCCACCAATTTAATTCGCTCCCGTAATAAACAGACCAAAAACCTACCATCTCTCACAAAATCAGAAACCCAACAATAATATGTTGAATTCCATGACACAATTTCCTTAGGATCATCATTATATTGCATATAGCGATTATGTGTTTTTATAATGTTTTTCCACACCCCGGTGTTGGATCTGTTAGCGAAAATAGACCAATGTCTCCCTTCTAGATTATGAATACTTCGAATTACTTTGGACTACACAGAGGATGCATCCGCATTCAAGTGCCACATCCATTTAGCTAACAAAGAAATATTCATAGATTTAATAGACACAAGCCCGATGCCTCCAACCTTTTTTGGTGCTATGATCTTATCCTATTTGACCCAATAAATACTTTTCTTTGTTATACTCTCATTAGAGGCAACCAGATTCATTAGGTATACAACTAGTTAGCAAATGACATGGCATTATATTTAATGACATGGAATAAACAAATTAGAATTGCCCTTTATATATTCATTTAGGACTTGGAGAAGAGAAAAACGAACAACGGTTGTGTTCGATCTCTTGTAATAGCTAGTTCTTCTTCTTCCTCTCAATCGTTGATGTCCAACTCAAGATCTACAAAGAAGTTGTTTGATGATGCAAACTCTTGTGGATGTAGATGTTCTTCTCGGATTTGGACATCTAGAATGGATGATTGTAGTGACAAAGAACATGGTTTGGCATGCGGAATTTAAGTTTGCACAATTGAACATGGTGATTTGGGTGCTAAAAGATACATTCGATCATAGTAAATGAGTACAAAAAGGGATCTAGTCTAGAGCTTCATAAATATCTCACTCACTAATAACTATGACTACATCTCTCAAGCACACCTCTACAAGTGGAAAAACCCACCTTATATAGAGGTGTTTACATATCTCTCTCTCACTCTAAAATACTCATTAGTCAAAAGGCTAATGCACCACATGCAAGTGGGTCTACACAAGTCAAACAATTACAAAGTCATACATGAAGAACTTTGCACCCCAACATTCTCCCCCTCAAAGTTAGGAATGGATGATCCACTTCAAATCTTCCAAAATCAAGCACTACGCAGTTCGAGCCTTAAAGGTGATACATGTTGAAACGAACTTCAATCTTCAATTCTTCCACGATTCTTCAACATGGCTCTAGGATGTAAGACCATACAATCCAAGCAGCAACGAATGATCAAGAGTATTCCAAACTCCAAATAATCACCCTAAATTTGCGCATAAAAACACCTCCCAAAAATCTTTAATAAAACCAAACTCATTTCGAATACATCACTTTCGAACTTCCAATTGCATCATCTCGTGACTTCAAAACTTCAAGATCATTTCGGTCTTCAAATCCGCGTAATATGAAAAATTCAAGTTCGAATTTCCATATAAAAATTCTCCCCCTTTTTATAATTAAAATTTGATTATAAAACTCCAAGGAAAAAGAACGTGCTCTATTAGGAAGTTTTCGTGTCAAAACTCCTCCTTAACATGTGGCATAAACTTTGTGCTTCAATCCAGAAAATCCAAAAAATATTCAATTTTTATTATCGTTCACGGATTGCCTTTAACAAAATTTCTCAAAAATGGGTATAAATTGTCAATTTCAAAATTCTGCAGTGACCCGTTGCGCCCAAAACAACAAAATATGCAAAACTCTCTCCCTTTTCCAAATCCAGGTAAAAAGCGTCAATTTGCACAAACTGCAGGGGCCTGAAATGCACAATCTTCAATTTTTAGCAAAAACAATCCTTTTTCGAATTTAAGTGCAAACAACCAAAAATTCGAAGTTTCAGGGACCATTTTCGAAAATTCTGCCCTTGTGCACAAATCATACGAAGCATGCCCAAAATATACGAAGCTCCAAAAAAAATTCAAATTTGGGTGAAAAGTATCAAACATTCGAAACTTAAGTTAATTTTCAAAGTGACAAAAATTTGAATGTTCAGGGGCCGTTTTCAAAACTTTGTGTCATTTGTTCAATTCATCGAAGCACAAAGCATACGAAGAATTATGAACAGTAACTTCATATGAATTTTCAATATACCCCCTTCTAATCTAAAACACCCGAAATTTTCAACCCTTTATTCCCAGTCAAACATCATAATAGTCAAGATCGACTCTAATCACCAATTCGAACATCAAAATACGATTCCAAAAACCTTCGTTTTCCAGTTCCAAAACAAAATCACTGACTCCACATAAACCCTTCGTATGTCAAAATCAAATACATCTTCCTAAACAATAATAATCGATATTAAATTCTTTATACCCTTGGATTCAGTAACCCAAATATCAACATAACCAAATCCAACCCATCGATCAAATAACCAAGACTTCGCACCATCGACCCTTCACTGTGATCCAATCTTTCGTTCTTTTCATTACAGGGGTCCCAAGGTTCCATCGACTCCAAAAATACCATCGAAATCGATCATCATACAATCCAAACTTTTGAAATCAATAATCAACTCAGACAATCTAAAATCGAAATCAGTTTCAATCTCTAAAAATAATATCGTTATCAGTTCTAGTCCAATGACCCACAATCGAACCACAAATCCAACATCCTTCACATTAAACATACGTATTCGATTCTGATATACCACTGATTTTGAATCGCAAGTACACATCGACTACGATTCTTGATTTTAACTAATTGACCTTCAGTACAATCATCTCCTTCTTCGTTTCCCAAAAACTCTAATTTTGACTTTTCTTGTTTGATTCCGAATTCAATCGCATAAGAAAAATATTTAATTGATAAATCAATCAACAAATCAATACAAAAATACTTGATTGAAATCTCAATTCAATCTCCTCTTAAATGACTTTAACCACTAAGATTCAAGAAATATTACTGATTGAAAACATGAAACGAGAATGAAAATAAAACCCTGAACAAATTCTCGAGAAAGATAGTGAATCAAATCAATATCAAATTTGAATCAAATAATCGATCAAAACAGATCAATCAAGAGAATGGTTTTCTTGAATCAATCATAATCAATTTTATGATATGGAAATTAAAGCTTAAAGATATGGAAGAAGTAAACAATATTGAATGAATAATGAGATATCGAACAATCGGGAAAGCAATTATAAAGGAATAGCTTCATGAACAGTGTTCTAAAAAATATTAGGCTTCGAAGGCATATGAATGAACATTATCGGAAATTTAAGTTTGGGCTTTAAAACTTGAATCAATGAACATCACTGAATTAAATCTTTTTTTTTTTTTTTAATTCAGATTTGGGATTGATCTTTTAAAAAGAATTGTTGAATCACCAATGGGATAAAAACGGATTAGATTCAACGAAACAAATCGATCAAAATTCAAAAATGTAATGCACGAATTTAATGAATTTACGAGAGATCATAGAGAGAGACTCACCAAAATTGCTCAAATTGTGACAAAAGTTGTCAAACCGAGAATCGTTCTTCAAATATCACCTTGATTTTGAAGACCCGCTCTGATACCAATTGTAGTGACAAAGAGCATGGTTTGGCATGCGGAATTTAAGTTTGCACAATTGAACATGGTGATTTGGATGCTAAAAGATATATTCGATCATAGTAAATGAGTACAAAAAGGGATCTAGTCTAGAGCTTCATAAATATCTCACTCACTAATCACTATTTCTACATCTCTCAAGCACACATCTACAAGTGGACAAACCCAACTTATATAGAGGTGTTTATATGTCTCTCTCTCTCACTCTATAATACTCATTAGTCAAAAGGCTAATACACCACATGCAAGTGGGTCTACACAAGGAAAACAATTACAAAGTCATACATGAAGAACTTTGCACCACAACATTGATCATCCGAAGATAATATTTAGGGCTTGTTCGAACAGATGTGTAAGTGTGATTGAAAGCTTTATCATGTCCATGTTAATAAGTTCTTGTTTTTGAAAGAAACCAAAAAAATAGATAGAATATAGACATGATAAAGCTTTCAATTACACTTAGTCATCTATTCGAGCAAGCCTTGAACTTTTTTATGTGGATGATCCTCCATTCTAGATGTCCAAATCCAAGAAGGGCGTCCACATCCACAAGGGTTTTCATCATCGAATATCTTCTTTATAGATCTCGAGTTGGACATCAATGATTTAGAGGAAGAATAAGAAGTAGTTATTACAAGAGATCGAACACAAACGCCGTTCGTTTTTCTCTTCTCCAAGCCCTAAATCGATATATAAAGGGAAATTCTAATTTGTTTATTCCATGTCAATAAATATAAGACAAAACTTCAAAAATGGTCCCTGTGGTTTCCAAAAATATCAAGTTTAATCCCTAAGTTCAAAAAACCTCATAGATGGTCCCTGTGGTTTCAAAACTTTTGACATTTGGTCCTTCCGGTTCACCCCGTTAGCATTTCACCGTTAACTCATTTTTTAATAAAATATTGCATGGGTAATTTCATCATTTCAGTTGTAACTTTCTCTCTTTAAAAGAAATTGCATGTCCGATTTTTGGGCAAATCCTTTAGCTTTATCAATCGTCATCTCTTCTCCTTTCCACAGTTGCTCGACCGTTGCACCCTTCACGACATCCAATCGCTTCCGATTCCAAGATGGTGGCTTGCAGATGTGGGAATGAAGCAATGAAGATCACTTCATGGACGGATCGTAACCCTGGAAGACAATTTTGGAACTATAGAAGATGTGGGATCCTTCGATGGTCTGATCCTCCTATGTATGCTAGGGCATTGGTGGTGATTCCAAGTTTGATAAGATCAATGAATCGATTGCAAGAGAGGGTTGCCACTGCAAGTGTAGAATTATAGAACTACCAGTTGATGTTGTTTTGTTCATGGGTGTTTCTTTTGGTATTATTTTAATCTCTAAGTATCTTGTGAAGGTTTGGATGGTAATGGAGTTTTGGTTTTTGGTTTGTAACCATTGCAGGTTTTTTTTTATTTTAATCGGATAGGGTTTTTTTTGCTTTCAGTTTATGTAGGTGGTTTTGGAATTTGTGTTGTTGTATTTGGTTTATGTATCAGATTAATGTGTAATGGAGTGCTAATGGTAATGGTAATGGAATGTAGTTTGTTATAGTTGATTGTTCAATTTCTTGAATTTTTTTGAAATGCAATTGTTAAGTGGATTGTAAATGCATCTTTAAGATGGTTTTCATTTTCAATTGGAATGTACAATGTTATTAATTGATCTGTGAAGGGTAGTACACAAAACAGATTAATTCATTACCAAAAAGTTCATACACACCATTACATGCAAAGTTATAAAGTTCTTAACACAACCATGATGCAAAGTTTTCAAAAGACCTACAACACAAGCATTATATGCAAAGTTTTCAAGTTCTTAACACATCTTCAAACAAGTACACATGACTTAAGTTTCAAAAGACCTACAACACAAGCATCCTAATAACTACTAAAAATAGTTTTCAGCCCCCTCCAACTTCACCACTGCCTCCCTGCCCTTTACATGTTCTGGAATTGTGCCCTTTGTTATGACACTTTGAATAAGTGACTGCAAAATATTTCCTACTCAATCTACCAGCTTGGCTGTTTGGCTCATCAACACCCCCCTTCTCTTCTTCTTAGGCCTCCCAACCTACACACACACACACACACACATATATATATATATATATATATATATATATATATATATATATATATATATACTATAGTTAAAATTGAATTCATTCCATGTACACATGTATACTATATATTTGGTGTACTTGAAATACAAATCTGTGTCTTATGTTTTGGTGGAAGTAAAGTGAATGGGCAGTCACTTTTAGGCCACATTGAACGTCCATTCAATGGATTAATTTTGTTGAAATACATGGATTTCCATGTTGATAACCTATAGCAAGGATGGACCCATTCATCAACATGTGGGGCATTTTCACCATTTTCAATTTTGTCCCATATAGCACAAACAACATGTCTACATGGGAAACCTGTAATCTCCGAAAACCTACAAATGCAACTTTAATCATTCAAGTTTATCACATACTGGTCTTGCCATGTGCTTGCCACTTGGTACTTTCCCGCCCCATTGTATTTAGCCACATACTTAGCTGCATCAGTCTTAATCTTTTCAAACAGTGTAGTTGCAGTAGGGGTTAGAAGTCCTTCACACTTATCTATTTCCTTTTGAACCACACATAACCTCTTCATGGTATACTCTCTAATATACTCTAAGCAAGTGATAATAGGTTTATCCCTACCTTCATATAGCTTAGAATTGAATACCTCACAAAGGTTATTTAACAAACAATCAGTATGTGCCCTTCTTGAATAATAGATATTAAGAGAAGACAGTTACACATATAGTAAACACAAAACAGGGAAGATTAACATTTGTTAATAAATTTCTAGAAACTTACCACTAAAGTGAGATTTAGCCCAAGTGTTTGTTGGGATCTTACATACCCAAGCATGAGCCTCTTCATTGATCTTCTTCAACTCATCCATTGCACTATTAAAATGATTGACTGTTGTTGCTCTACCACACTCCTAAAGCTGGTTACTTAAGTCTTTTCCTTTCCATTGTTTCTTCTTGTTTTCCTGGATATGCCTAAAACAGAACCTTTGTTGTGCACTACAGAATACCTTCTCCATTGCTGATATTATTCCCTAAATAAAAGTCAATGTATGTAACATCAATTAACCAAATGTATTTAGAAAAGGTAATAAAAAAAAAGTTAGGTGATACACACCTTTTGTCTATCTGAAATGAATGTAAAGTTTGAATTTGGTCCCAGATCCAGATCTTCTCCTAATAGTTCCAAGAACCAGGTCCAACTACTTGTTGATTCTGTCTCTACCACTGCATATGCTACAGGGTATATGTCATTGTTTGAGTCTAACCCTATAGCAGCTAACACTTGCCCAGGGTAAGGGCCCTTCATGAAAGTACCATCCAGACCTAGAAAATCTCTTAACCCATATTTGAATCCTAACTTCAATGCACCTAGAAAAACATATATTCTTCTAAATTTTTTTGTGGTAATAGACAGGGAGGTTTCGGGATGCACATCAATTCGAACTGTTGTACCAGGATTAGTGTTGAGTAGCTCCAACACATCATTCCTCAAAAATCCATACTGTACTTGGTAGTCCCCACTAATGATACGTTCAGCCATTGAATTTTCCCTAACAACCTTTTGCAATGACATTCCTACCTCCAGTTTCTTGCATAACTCTTCGTGTAAAGCTTTCACTAGAATTTTAGGGTTACTCTGTATTTGTTGAACAATTAACTTTGCTACGTATCTGGATGTGCAAGCTTTGACCACCCTTGTTTGCAAACATTTATGCTCATCTTGTACTGTTTTCACCAACCAATCCTGATTTTCATTAGCCCTTGATATTTGAACTGCCCATGGACATGTACCTTTATTGGCAATTACATCTTTACCCTTGCACTTTGCCCTACTTCTAGTTGAGGGCCCACCACCATCAACTACTTTAGAAGGCTTACTTACAACACCTTTACATTTCACCCTAATACGGATTTTGTCATTTTTGGCTAGGTATAAAGACCTCCTTGTTGCTACAAAATGTGAGTTCATGTAGTTTTTAACATCACGCTTGGTTTTGAAGACCTGGCCAATCTGAAATGGTTTTACATGAACCTCTCCATGTGAGCATGTACTTGACTTACTCAACTCTTTTATTAGTCTCTTCCTATCATCTTCATGAAATCCTGCAAATTGATAATCATCAGTGGCAATAACTTCCAACTCATCATCAACCATGTCAATCCCTTCATCTTTTGAATTATTGTTCAAGATTCCATGTTCATATACATCAACATCATTATGGAATTCACTCATGTCTACATCTACATCAAATTGTATGTTAGACTCATCCACATTGTATTCACTGTCATCAGAATCATCTCCACTATCCTCATAACCATGGCCACTCTCAGAGTAGAAAGCCTCTCCACTATCATCACTCACCATACCCTCTAGATAATCCACTTATGGTTGTTGTTCAAATGAAGTTTGAACATTAAACTCAGCATCGTAATCAGCATAAAGTGAGTAATCCTCTATAAATGGTTCATAGTCATCAACTGTTGTAGTATTAGCTCCATCATCAGCTTGGCAACTTGGTTCCTGTACATGGTAAGTTCCCAATGGTTCTGCAGTTTCAACTACACTAGTGATCACTTCTTCTTGAGTTTCAATTTCATGATTCACCACTTCCTCTTGAATGACATGACTTTGTTTGCTATCTTGTGACCTTATAAATGGTAGAATACTCTTTGAGTAATCATGGCCTTCATCAACATCTAATACTTGTGACTGATCATAATCAGGGTTCATAGAATTGTTTAGATCAGTCTTTCTACTACATGATCCTGCTTCTCTCCTACAAAGTTTCTTTCTATTCATTTCAGGTGACACACTATGAAGCTCCAACTCTTCAATAACAACATTAGAAGGAGACTTGTAATAACTTTCTACCCTTGTCTGACCAATTTCAATATATACCCTAATAAGTCTGTGTTTAGGGACATATGATACCATTTTAAGTACATCTTGATCATTACCTAAAGGCATTAAGCATAGTCCAAAGGGTATTCAGGGATACATAAATGGTAGTAAAGGGTTTGCTTAGTTTTGTACCCTAGTTCTCGAACCATGTCATCAAACTCATGAACTGAAAATAAATCAGTGTCAACATCATCTACATATGCTACAACACCATCAACGTATTTCCTTCTAGGTGCTTTGGTGAAGACACCACTGTAGTGTATATTCAACGTGAAATAGTTGTCATAACCTTCTGCAAACACAAAAAAAGAGTAAAATCATTGATTTCTCTACGTCAACACAATCGACCAAGAAAAAACAAGTTTTGTTGTGTATAGTACCGTATCTTTTTCCTAAGTCCTCCACGGTTACAAATTTTTCTCGAAAACACCATATAGATAGCACCATTGCAATTCCTACAGCTTAAAACCCTAAATCCCAAGTTCTGTTCTTACTTCTACGATGGGAATGAACCCGATGAATACAGATGTAACCGGTTATCTTCTTGGGAGAGGGACGGGTAGTGATGTGCAAGCAACATGTAATCATTTCATATTAAAGAGAGAAGGTTACAACTGAAATGATGAAATTACCCCTGCAATATTTATTAAAAAATGAGTTAACGGTGAAATGCTAACAGAGTGAGCCCGAAGGACCAAATGTCAAAAGTTTTGAAACCACATGGACCATCTGTGAGGTTTTATGAACTTAGGGATTAAACTTGATATTTTTGGAAACCACAGGGACCATTTTTGAAGTTTGTCTAAATATAATGCCATGTCATATGCCAACTAGGTGTATATGTAATGAATCTGGTTGTCTCTAATGACAATTGAACAAAAGCATAAGTTCATTGGGATTTTTTCAGCAAACAAAACATGATTGGGGTTTTTTGAACGGTTTTGAAACTTTGTTTGTCTTACAAGTCATTTTCCGATATTTAATTACACGTCATAAGCCATGTCATTCGTTGACTTTCATTAGCTGGTTAACCCTAAATGAGAAGTGAACGAAAGTGTAAGTTAATTGGGTTTTTTAGACAAAATGTTAAGTTTGTTGGGTTTTCTTGAACAGATAAAATATAATTGGGTTTTTTTTAACGGTTTGAAAACTCCATACCATACCGAAACATTGAGGAAAACATATGTGGAATCAGTAAAACCTTTGCCAAAGCCATACAAATGGGAGATCCCCGATGATTTGATGAATTTTTAAGTCACCTATAATGGATAAACGTCAGCCAGGCCGGCCAAGAGACACAGACCACATTCCATCCCAAGGTGAGGGTTTAATTAGAAAAGAGTGTTCTACATGCAATCAAGCAGGACACACGAGAAACAATTGTTCTAGAAGGGTGTCCGATAGTGGATCACATTGCACGACATTTAATATTGGGGCTTTAGCGAGTTGCTCACAATCCTATGATGCCGATTTTGATTTAAAACAACCTTAAATTGAATAGATTTTATTTTTTTTTATGTATTTTAATGTTTTTATTAAATTTTATAAGATGTTGTCATGCTTTTATACTTGGAAAATTAACGGTAAACAAACATGTTAATATAAAATAAATACCAAAGCCAAGTCAAGATAATGTTACAACAATTTTTTAACTAATTATTAAACTCATGGAATTGTAATTGGTAATTCTCTTTCTCTATTGTTATATAGTCATCCCTCTCATTTTATCTTCCAAACGATCATTTTGCACCCTAATTTGTATCATCTCTGCGTCATTGTCAGCAAGCCATTTTTCAGTCATTTTGATTGTCTTTCTTAGTCTTTTTTATTCACTCTCCATGTTCTTTGGTTTTCTTTTTATTGAGATCTATCCATTCTTTAGCTTGTTTGTATTCTGATGCAATAACTTCACTATGTTCACTGAGACAACGGGATGCCTCTTTATCCTGTTCATATAAAAGTGTAATAAGGAATTTTTTAAAATTAAAATAATTTTTATATACCTTTGTCATTGTAAAAATCTTGTTCCTATCAACTCATTTCAATTTTTTGTGCCACTCCTGCATTTCATCCGAGGCGTGTTTGTTTTTTCTCAACACAAATCCACCGGCACGAACAACTGGAAGCATATCATATATCCATATCTACAATTTTCACAATTATGGTAATAAAAAATAAAATTAAAATAACTAACATAACAATAAATTCTTACAAATAATAATAAATTTGTATACCCTAAATGGCGTCGTAAATCCTGAAACAGAGTATTTAAATGTTTGAAGACGCTCCGACAGTGAAAAATATTTATCTATTTTGTTCCACGTATCCTCAAGGTCGTCATAGATAAAGTTCCACATATAAATACCCCAAGCAAAACTGCCAAAAAATATTAATTATAATATACCTTAACATTAATAATATGAAACTTTCAAAATAAACAAAAAATACCTGTTTCACACATCAAAATTCTCAGCCAAAAAAAACTAGTCTTACGACACCCGATCGTTTATTTCTTTTCCCAAAAATCATTCACACAAAATGTATATCAAACTGACTTTAACTGCATCATCGTCGCTAACTTCTAAGAATGGATGATTTAAAATAAAACTTTTAAGGTCATTGATTTTCACCGAACTATTTGTATGGTTCGGAAATAGATGTTCACGCAATACATATCTTTTTTTAGTACTAACTTCTTTTTTCTAACACATTTTTGCTAGTATTTTTGGGATAATCGCCGAAATTAAACTCGGTTATCAAACAAAACTCTTCCGGACCATATACCATTTCCGTATCCCCCACTCTAAAATATAACCGTTTTATGCCATCTGAGGATAAAATAGCGTCCGGCCGTATCTGATGAAGCAACATATTGTGGAACAACAATCCGTCCCCTTGTAAATGAGAGACGTCCAACAATTAACCAAATACAGTTTGTCCGAAAATATCGTGTCTTGCACCCTGTAACACCTCAAATACTTCCCAAATGTTACATCCCGATTATTTTAAGTTGACAATAGCTTTAACATTGAAATTATTATAATCATGCTGTAAAAAACAACAACATATTAGAAAACTAAACAATTATTTCCTTTAAAAATATCTAGATATTAAATGGAATAAATAATCCAACATTCAAATTACAAACATAAACAATGCATAAACCAACATTCAATCAATAATTTTTATATTTACGCTGAAAAACAATAACATGCTATAACAAATTTTCAACTTAAAACGACAAGTATATACAATTTTTCAAATTATACGACAAATATACAAACGATCACTAACCAAACATATTGTAACCATTATTGCAAATCTAGCCACTGAAATCTAGCTGTCTGAGATTGACAAAAATTCAATAAATGAACCCACAAATCGGTCATGGTATAAGGTCACCGGTAGTACCACGAGCCCAAACCTCCTCCTCCCGTGGGGCCACTTCAACCACCTTAAGTATAAAGGAAATAACCTACTAAATTCATTTTATTTTTATATGAAATCTATAAACTTTTGAAATTTTTTTTAATAAAGTCGTAAAAAAAAATTCAAACAAAAAAGTCTCATTATTTAGAGAAAATGATATAATCTGTCATTTGCTGGTCAAATATAAAAAATGAATTTTTTGTTAATTTAGGCAAAATCAAAATAATCGGAACTTTTCTATTCAAAGAAAAACTCTTAAGATTTTATTGGAACTTTTCCCAAAAATTTAAGATTTTTAGTAAATTTCCCTATTTTTATTTGCAACTATATGACTTAACATTGTATTTGGAAATAAGAGAAAGTTCCCGGAGTAATTAGTAACATAGTTTTGAGATGTTTTTGTAAGATATGTAAATGATATACACGAGGTAATAAAATTATGTCCTCAATCAACTTTCTCCTAACATTTGTAGTTCAAATATGCTGCCATAAAGGATTTTTCTCTGCATTCTTTTGTTTCACAAAATTTATATATTTAACTTTTAGGATAATAAAAACTGCTTGATTGTAATATGCCACGATGAGTTTGAATTATATAAATTTAATATATTAAAAAAAGATAATATAATGTGATAAAAACCCAAAGAAGTGTAATTAATACTTTCATAGGTGTGCTTTAAAAGGATAAACAGAGAAAACAAAAAGGACAAAAGTTGTAAGGGAAAAGGACAACACAATTTCCTCAATATCTTTACATGCTTCGGACTGTGATGGAGTTATGTCAAAACCCATTCAGTCAAAATCATACGTAATAAAGTTAAACTGTGTATCCATCTTAGTGTCTTATTAATGACAAATCATTTTATAAAATAAAACGTTCCTTTATATTATGTCAAGTTGGTCTCAATAAAAAATAAAAAATAAAAATAAATAAAAGGAAACAGATATACTCGAGTTATGTTAAGGGAATGTTTCGTATTACAAAAATGTTAGCTGGTAAAAAATAAAAATAAATAATAAGTAGATGGTAAGTT